CCCCCCCCGCCCCCGGCGCCCCCCAACAGAGCAGCAGAGCGGAGAGGAAAAGGCGCAAAGGGGGAGCAGAAGGAAAGAATTCACTGAAAGACAGCCATGTGCGCTTTAAGACCTCTCCTGTCTCCCACCAGGAGTTAGTATGAATGGCAAAGCAGCTTCCTGGGCCCTGGCCCGCCTGCCCGCAGATTCAGATTGCTTAGGTCTCCGAGTCTGCTGCATTTCTCACCGTGCCCCTTTCCGCCAAGCTGAAGTTTCCACACCTGGGCTGGGACAGAGAAGGCCTTGGGGAACGCGGAGGTGGTCAGTGGTTCCCCGTCTGTTTTCTCTAAAGTCCCCGGTGTCTGAATTTCCTAGGTCCCCTCCGGTAGCTCCTTTTTGCTGCCTCCAGGGTCAGCAACCAAGGGTGATGAGTGATGGGAAGGGTCACAGGACTTCGAGAAAGCTCGTAAACGGGAGTTCCTCTTAGCTTACAGAGGCTGGAAGACCCCAAGCATGTGAAACCACCAGGGACCAACAACTGTAACCTACTCATCCTCTAGATGGGGAGATTGAGTCTCAGAGAGTGACTTCCTCAAACCCACGCAGCTAACAATTGCAACTGACGCTTCACTTTTTCAGACACTTACCGTTCGCCCTGCACTTTGCCGCTCTTGCTAGCTAAGTTGTGGTAGTTTAAAAATATTTGCCAAGTTCTTTACTGCTTCTCCTTTCAACAGATGTTGTCTAGGGGCACCTGGGTGGTTCAGTCCGTTGAGCGTCCAACTTCGGCTTAGGTCATAATCTCAGGGTTTGTGGATTCAAGCCCTGCATCAGGCTCGCTGCTGTCAGCGAGGAGAGCACTTCGGATCCTCTGGCCCCCTCCCTGTATGCACCACCCCCGCTCTCTCTCTCAAAAAATGAATAAACATTAAAAAAAACCCCAAAAGATGTTGTCTTAATTCCTCTCCCCTGACTGCTGGCTGGACTTGGCAACCGGTTTCTAATGAACACAACATGGTGGGGGTGATGCTATATAGCTCTTAAGCCTAAGTATAGAAAGGAGACATTTCTCTTGTCTCTTTCTTGCTTTCTCAGTACAGGCACGCTTGAAACCAGCCACCATGCTGTGAGGAAGCCCAAGCCCTGCGGAGAGATGACGTGACGTGTTCTGGCTGACGTCTCCAGTTAGGGCTCTCAGTTCACAACCAGCATCACTCAGATAGGTGATGAACTGACATCATCCCAGCTGCCAGCCTCTGAGTCTTCTAGCCAAAGTCCCAGACGTGGAGCAGAGACAAGCCAACCTTGCCGTGCCCTGTCTGAATTTCTCTCCCACAGAAACTGAGAGATAAGAAGCGATCATTATTGTTTTAAGCCAGTAAGTTTTGGGGTACTTTGTTATGCGGCATTAGATAATTAATTCTGTGAAATGACATTTCCTGAAATGACAAATAATACAGTAGATTTGGGGTATTTATTCAAACATGCCAACAGTGAGTAGTTATTGAGCACCTTCTATGAGCCTGGCTCTGTACTAGGCACTGGGGATACAGTGGTCAACAAGAGGAACGTGGTCTTTGCCCTGGTAAGGCTACTACTGGAGGAGATGGTTAAACATGATTCTAATAAAGTGCTTTGCCAGAGTCTTAGACCAGGAAGCTATGGGAGTGCATACTCAGGGCAGCTTGGTCAGTTAAGTGGGTTGCTGGGGAAGGAGGAAATGAGTTGAGCACAAGGCCAGCATGGTCTAGCCGAGAGAGGTTTCTGGGATATATTCGTAGAAGGGGGAGGGGACAGGTGTCAGGCAGGGTGGAAGGGCATACAGATAGATTAGAAAATGGTGAAACCAGAAAGGGATGTGTCTTACTCAATCTCATTTTAGCCAAAATCACTAGGGTCACAGAGTTTGTGAACTGGGGTGCAGATCTTGGGTCCCCTCCCACAGGGGGAGGGGATCAAACCCTCCCACAATCCCGCATACCTATACCCAGGGAACAACATCTCTAATGACACTTGGGTCACTCCTCATTTGGCTCAAAGCTCTTCTGACTAATATCTCTTTTGCTGTCTTCACAAAGACAATTTCTGGAAGAAATTAAGAATGAGTTAATTTCCATTTTACACAGGAAGAAATGATGCACAGGGAGGCTGGGCAACTTACCTACCTAGTTTAGGGGCTGGCGTGTCAGGGCTTCTAGCTACTGATGATGTACTTGGATGATGACAGGGATGATGATGATAATGACACCTAGGTCACATCATATCTCGCTTGTTATTGTCACACTTGGGATTAATGTTCTGGAAACGAATATGCAGTGTCTTGGGGAATCAACGTTGGTATCAATCTGCTCTAATTCATTTTCTTGCGACACTGAAGCTAGAGTCAAATTCCTGGAGAGGAGAGTCTGGTTGACTGAGCTTGGGTTCTGGGCCCACCCTTTGGCCGGAAAAGGCCAGAGCAACTTCATTAGCTGCTCCCAAAAGACCTCAGGCAGTGGGGGCAGAGGAATGCCCTAAATGCAAACAGGGCACTGGTAGCAGAAGAAGGGCATAGAGGGGCACACTATAGGTATGTTTCTGAAAGGCAGACTGTATGTATGCATGTCTGCACTGCCCAATATGGTGGCTAGAGGTCACACATGGCTATTTACTTAACATTACATAACATAAAAAAAATCGGTTTCTCCATCACACTAGCCACATTTCAAGTGCTCGATAGCCATATGGGACTTGTGGCTACTGTGCTGAACAGCACAGATTATAGAACATTTCCCGCATTGCAGAACTCTCTATTGGAGAGCACTGTTCTAGAATTCTTATTTGCAGTTCAACTGTTTTTTTTTTTCTTTTACCTCATACATTGTAAATAGGGACATAGCAAAAAAAGGTGAATCCGAATTTTCACTAACTTATTCATCAACCGTGTACTAAGCGTCTCCTCTGAATCTTACATTGTTGTTGGCACCAGGATGCCAGAGAGGGACCTTGGAGATCTCCTGGTCTAGGGAGTCTCACATTAGAATCATCCAGAGAGCTCTTAGAAGTACTGATATCCAGGCTCCACCCAGCAGAGACTCTGGTGACAGGGGTCTGGGAAGGGGCTGGCTGACCATAAGATGGAAAAGCTCCCCAGGTGGTTCTCAGGTATAGCTGGACCTGCAAACCAGTACAGTCTGGTCTGGCTAGGGAAGTGATTTGCTTCAGACAACCCCAAAACCGAATCTGGGTGTGTCTGCCCTCGGGGTTCTCGTGACAACAGCAGGCCTCTCCATGGACGCGGCGTCCATCCGATCAAGTGCAACATTCTTAGAGAAGAGCAAGTCAGCTAGCTCTTCCTTAATCCAGAGAGAAGCCAGTTCACTTCAAGGAAAGTGCCAAGAGAACTTCTGGTGTTAAATCACCTCTTTCCCAAACTGTGCTTGTTTCGTGCCTGGAACTGCGTTATTCAGCAAGTTGGTGAATTCCCTGTAAAAAGAATGCCTGTTGTGAGCACCTAGTGCAGGTCAGGGCCCTTCACATGCTGTTTCATTTAATCCCCAGGACACCCTTACGGAGTGAGTTTTGCTGACACCAGTTTATTGACGAGCACGCTGAGATGCAAGGAGGTTAAGGATTATAATTTGTCCAAGTCAGTACAGCTGGGACTCCAAGTCCAGATCTCATATTCTTTCCCCTTTGCCGCCCAGCACCTACCCCGTAGCCCAGAGTGCAGGGAAGCTGGCAGGCGGTGGCATTGTGCTCCATCTACACAGTGAAGAAAGCTCTGTGGAGGTGAGTGGAGGTGACATGAGGTGCTCTGTGTGTCAGAGGACACCCCGGAGCTGATAGGACCCGAACAG